AATTACATTCTCTAGAAAAATTTGGGTATGCAGTTTTTTGGCTCATTCAATTTTAGTATAATAATGTGCAAGTCGAAAAGTAAAATAATTATGTACGAGAACTTTTTCTGCCTTTTTTATTTTGTAATCCCCTTTTTGAGATATGGGCCTCGTTTTTTTTTCATCGAGCACCAAAAGAACGCTAAACTCGGGTAAAATTTTAAGAAAAAGGATTCACCCATTAATAACACTGTAGAGATGACAAAATAACACTAAAATACCTCGAGACACGTAAACTTAATTTTGGGGTCATAGATTACAGATCTGTATACCGTTTTTCTAGATCAGGTCATTTTGCCAAGATGTCATTTTGAGTTTGCATTGAGAATGAAAAAAATCTAACTTTACTCATACGCCATGTCCGAGTACGTAAGAGTACGGCCGTTTCAGATATGGCGTATGAGTAACATTATTTCCTGCTCGTATTTCAAACAATAAATTATTGCACATTTTCATTTGTTATTTATGATTTTTGGTAAAAGAAGAAATGAAAAAAATTACAAAACTTAACTTCACAAAAAAGGAGAAATATTTTTTTTATGTACATGTGTTGCTGCATAATTTAATGCATTGTAGGCATCATGGGATGCCAGGGCTGGACTTTAACGTTCTTTCTATAAAGATTTGGTCTGAAAATCCCCTAGTTAACTTTTTAGCGATTTCCTAAATGCTATTTTATTCAAACTCTCAAAAAAGGGTATCAAAAGGACCGTTTCTTGAGAGAACTAATGGGTGAAAATATTCTAGAAAATTATTCCTCGTGAGATTTTGGTATCTATACCCAAACTATACATTTCGATCCGATATTAATTTTAGCCCGCTTTTTTCCTCATGTTCTAAAAATACTCAGGCGAAACATTGCAGATCTAATACGATCATAAAAAAAGAAATTTGACCTGAGATTGCAAAAAGACTGGAGTTTTTATTGAATTGGACTAGGTCTTTCATCCTGAGTTGAAAATATTCCGTCCCGAGACAATAAACTTGAGATTGTTGCACAGTGATATAAATGGCCTAATATTCTATTTAGTTCAGTGATCTCAAGTTATTCTAAAAAGCTTAACCCTTTCAGTACAATTGTTCAATATATTGGACAAACTTTTTTTGTACTTAAAGCTATTTTTTTCTTAGATAAGAGCTTTTGTTTATAAAATAACAGTTGTTTTGAGAAAAGTATATTAGTCTTATTTACCGCATTTCTTTTACTGTATTTTTGGGATGCAGTTGACTGTGATTTCTCACAAAAGCAAAAAGTGGCACAAAAATCTATATTTAGTAGTGTAACATATATGAAATAAATGTTAAATCTTACTCTCAGTTTGGAAATATATTTCGCAAAAGAAAAAAAAAGAAAAAATATTGATATCCAATATAATGGACGCTGAATAACGGTTAAACTAAGAGTTGTATAAAATTTTTGATTGTATTTTTGAAATCAATGACCCAACATTAGCCGGTAAACAAATTTTCAGATCTTTAGCTTCAATGGCTGATTTTTTGTACTGAGATGGTTAATTTTAGTGATAAAATATCTTTGCAGTATTACGCCAGCTAAAGTTTGTAGGCTTTGCTTGAATACATTTTCTAAGTAAAGAAAATACCCATATATTTCTGTAGATGAGGAGGGTTTTTATGGTTCCAAAATTGGATGAAAATTTCAACCTGTTAAATTTCAGTTGTTTTCGCATGCTGTTTTACTTCGCATTTGAAAAGCAACTATGAAATAAAGATAATTGTGGAGATAAAGAAAGATATGATGAAGGCAAAATTGAAGATAAACGCGAAAATTCAAACAATCAACATACATAAAATAAGAATCAGGGAAACTGACAGTGTAAGAAAATTCATTAAAATTTTTTCGATAAAAATCAAAATATGTATATCCAAGTTTATAGTTATCGAGATGTAACGGATCATCCATTTTTATTATCGGAACGTATCGAGTTATTGAAATTGCTCAATGTCTATTAAGTTATCGAAATTTATCGAGGCGCAGAAACTTAATAGTCGAAATGTACAGATAATTATCGAGCCCTAAAAGTTTATCGGATTATAAAGATTTATTGAGTTAATGCAATTTTTTTTATAAGACATACAGTGACAAGCAAAACTGTAACATGGTTTAACACTTTTTGTTTCAGCCACCGCTATATTTCCAAGTTCTAACGACTTTCATACTTTTGCTGTATATTCTTGTTGGTACATCCCTACTCCCTCTCTCATAATGATTTGAAGTCAATACAACAACAATAAAATAAACCAGCAGACAAAAATGTAAATTAAGGCAGATGTTACAGTTTTGCACTCATATATATTTAAGAACTTTTTAACAATTTTCACGAAAAAAAGAACTACTAACACAATGTTCAGCACTCTTTTGCCTGTTTCAGTTCCTGGATGTGATTTGGCATACCTTATTTGTATCTTTGTAAAAATTCTGGAGGTATATCCTTAGTTTGCTTTCACAGCTCATGTACTCGATTTTACGGACTTTGATACTTATTAAGCTGTGTTTTTAGTTGATTTCGCAAATTCTAGATGAGATTCATGTCCGCGGTTTGTGGAGGTCATTTCAAATTAGCAAATTTTTGCTTTTGTATCCAGTCTTTGCGAACATATGCAGTATGTTTTGGGTGATTTTTCAGCTGAAACTCTCATTTTTCGACTACATCTTGCAAATTTTGTTGAAATATGAACAGATACTGTTCCTTACGCATAATGTGTACTAACGGACCAACAAAATTTTTGAAATACAACCCCAAACAATTAAGATCCTACCACTGTGATTCACAGTTTGCAGTACATGATGCGCTTAGGCTTAGTTTGGGTCTTTGAACCAATACCATGCCCGGCCATCTGATTGAAAGCGATTAATTTAGTCTTGTCCGACCAAATAACATTCAATTGAAACTTAAAAATATGTTTTTTATTGCATTCTGAACGGCCTAACATATCCCAATAGGCAACGGTTCGGTTTTCGTGCGATGCAGCGAAATGCTGCCACACTCGCACATGTATTTTGATCAAAATGGTTTTTTTCTTTTATTATGCCTTAGCGTTCAATTTGACAATTCTTCGCCTCGCTGTCTACTGATTTGCATTCAATTTTAATACCTTAAGCGCTTCTGTAATAGTGGCTGCATCGCTACTTGTTGCTAAGTTCACAAGATATCGTACCGTTATATTTTTTAACAGACCTCCTTTGTCCTTGGGAACACTTTAGGCTATATTTTTTCTAAGTCTTAATATTTTTAAGTAGCAAATTCCAAAATTGTTTGCCACTTTTCGTGCGGTTCCGCATTTCCGCAGTAAATCTATTATTTACATTAATGGTTCCTGATTAACTATGTTATTTACAGGTGATCACTTCTTCAATAAATTACAATATAGAAAAAAGTCATCTGACTTCCAACTAAGTAAAAGATAACTGTCAAATGCAAAACTGAGAGTGAGTGCAAAACTGTAACATCTGCCTTAATTTACATTTTTGTCTGCTGGTTTTTTTATTGTTGTTGTATTTACTTCAAATCATTATGAGATAGGGAGTAGGGATGTACCAACAAGAATATACAGCAAAAGTATGAAAGTCGTTAGAACTTGGAAATATAGCGGTGGCTGAAACAAAAAGTGTTAAACCATGTTACAGTTTTGCTCGTCACTGTATATTCAATAATCAATACAGGGTTATGGAGTTAATGAAATTTATCGAGTTGTGAAATATCGAGTTTTTTCAACTATCGAGTTATCCATATATATTGATTTATCGGTTTTTTTCTAGTTATCGAAATTTGTCGGTTTATGAAATCGAGGTTTTTGGAATTTTCAAAATATATCCGGTTATCAAAATTTTCTAGAGTTACATGAATTTATCGTGTTATCACTATTTATCGATTTACCGGATTTTATCGAGTCACCCGTGAATTTCGTCGACAGACATGGAAATTTATGAAGCTATCAAAATCGAGCTACCGATCTATATATCGAGATATGTGCAATTTTTAGCTATCGAAATTTTTCCAGTTCTGGAAACGCGCAGTTACCCAATTTTATCGATAGTTACCGAAATTTGTAGAGTTATCGAATCTTATGGAGCTATCGGAATTTACTGTTTTTGAAATTCATTTACTTAGCTATCAATACGTATCGAATTGTCTGAATTTGACGACTAATTGAAATGTATCTAAGTTATTTAAATTCATAAAGTTTTTAAACTTTGTCGACTTATCGAGAATTACCGAGATATATAGTGCCCTATGGTTTCCGTGTCATCCTAATTGAAAATTGTGATAAAATTTAATCCATCGCATTCATTTGTCCATTTTTCAACGTATATAGTTTCAAATTATTCCCGCTTTTTATGAGACCTGTATTTTCTCGCCGGCTCTCATTTGACTGATTGGTGCTCTAAATTTCAAATACTTCAGACCAAGGTAATTTGTTTGACGACCAACAGGTTTTCGTAAAAACATTGATTATGGAGAAAGTTTTGCCCTGTTAAACTTTAACGCTATTAAAATAAAAAAAAAAAATAAATACGAATTTTTAGTCACGTTTTAGTGCCAAAGCAGGAGATTTTCCTTTGAGTAATTTTGTGCCTAATAACTTGATCGACGTGCTATGTTTAAAAATATGAACAGGGCTCCAAAAAAAAAAACTAGAAAAAAGGTCGAATTTCGACAATAACTGGCACTCCAAGTGCTTACTTAAATCTCTCACGAAAGGAAATTTTATTTATACACAGCGTAAGAAAACTATAATTCCGACGTTTGCTGTGAGACAAGTTAGAGGGCAAGGAATATGCTTCGGAGTGTTCTCTATCGAATGTCAAAAAGACCGTCTTGATCTCGTAAATACCCCAAGCTTGGTTGGAAGCAAACTACAAGAATATTTAAGTTTTTTTTTTGGTTTAGTTTTTAATGTAAATTTAGCAGCTAAAAATTTATAATACATAATAATACATTAAAGCAAATACATTCATATACAATTCATAAACAATAAAATTACATTTTTATACAAACGAAGCTAAAAAGCTTACATTCAAGCATACATTTGTTGCTATTGTGTGTTGCTGTGTATGTGTGTGTGTGTTTAGGTGCTTCTTATCGTGTACAATAGCAACGATATGTACTTGCTACTTAAGCTAAAGAGATAAACCGATTTGTGGACGTTGCTTATTTATTTATAAGTAGATTTTTATTAATACATATAGTACTTTTCTGTTTGGTTATTTTCTTAGTTTTCCTGTTTTTAAGCTAAGCTACATACATGAATTTTTTTAAGACTTTTTTACTATTTTAGTTATAATATATTTTAAGTTAAAACTACTATGTTTCATATCTCACAATTTATGGTTGAATAGCATTTAATGCTTTTTCACTGCTTATTTGTTTGGTTTTTTTTCTTTTAGTGAATTTATTCTTTGTTCTACATGTTAAAAGTTACGTATACGCCTAGGTGAGCGAGCTAGCGTCAAATGCACAGATTACAACGCAATACAATTTACAAATACAAATACCAACAGCTGCTAACTACGAGTGTGTGTGGAAGTTTATGGGTGTATATGTGCGTGTGCATGTTTTTTGTTAGCTTTGATATTCCGTTTGTTTGTATGTATGAACTATGCGGTAGCTAACTGTTGCTTGCACCGTTAGCTGAGAGACAATTTTTTATTTGTTTGTAACTCTGTGGCTTCTGTCGCTTTGTTTATTTTATGTTGACTGTGCGTGTACTCGGTTTTTTCCACAAGTGTGTGTCTCTGTGGGTGTGTGTGTGTGTTTGTTTGTTTGTGCGTGTTTGAGTTTTATTGCACATTTTGGCATTTATGGCACAAGTTTCTTGAATCCAGCACCTTCTTGGCCAAGTTTGAGCTCTTCATAAATTGTTGGATTTATTTCGTTGCATTGGGTGTGCGCGTCCGCATTCGCATCGTTGACAATGCCCTCACGCGGCGCTGGTTGGGCGGTGGAGCCCGCATGCGTGATGGCAGATGTCACTGTGGGTAGCTGTGTGCGTTTTGTGTTTTTTTTTTGTGAAACAGGAGCGAGGGCAGAGCGCGCAACGAGGTTAAAGGATTTGCCAACCAAGCAGATTTCAATAGCAGTTGGCGTAATTGTGTAGCGAAAAGTCAAGGCGAGTGAAGTCAGTAGCAGAATGGGGAAAACAGTGCATGGATTATGAAAGCAAATATTAAAGTAAAACGCATCGAATGGAAATGGCACAATGGAGAACAGCAGTTGTGGTTAGTGAATGACAGTTAACGGGTAGAGCGCGGGAGGGAGGGAATACAAGAACACAAACAATGAGAAATGAAAAATGAAAGATTAAAGTATAAAAATATTAAAAAGCGAAAACGAGAACAAATGCGAAAATATTGTCAGTGATGTAAGTGGATTGTTGGTGGCATTTAGTAGCAGTTGCGATATTTTTTCCCCAATATTGCCATTTTTATTCCATTTCATTGTGTGTATTGTTTTCGATAGCATTGCAATTGTACATGGTTTTTTTCAATATTTCGTCGTTTGCCATTTTCATAGCGTTCGTTATTGTTGCATTTTTGTTGTTGTGAAAAGCGCCATTTGTTGTTGATTTCGGTTTTATTTTCATTGTTGAAAGCATTGAATGTTTACGATTTTTTTGTTGCAAGTGTTTCACATTTCAACGCCGCAAGCCGATTTTTAGCCGCACACATGTAAACACAAATATCCAAAGCGTATAGCAAGCAGTCATCGTCATCGTAGTTGTTGTTGTAGTGGCACAAATATACATACATGCATATGCAATAAATTTTGATAAAACCGAATTGGTTAAGTAGGTGCGTACGGTGTTGTTTCAGCGCCCAAGCCACACAATCAAATATACAAAAAAAAAACAACATGAAAGTAAAAACAATAAAGAGAGGGAGAAAAGAAAATTGTAAAAATACACATTAAAAACATTAAATTGAAGTATTTATATACACATAAATATAAAATATACAAAGTGGATTAAAAATTACGAAACTAAAGGGAAACACATTCAGGCGCAAATGGAAAATCATACGCTCGTATAAATTAGGGACGGCGGAAAGAAGTGGCATACGACAGAACTGCAAAAAATGAAAACGGATATGAAAGAAACTGAAAAATTTCGATTCCCTCTCCGATTGGGCCGTTTTCTCAATGTGAGATCCTGTAAAACATAAAGTATATTTTCTGCGAAAATAATTAAATCTATTATATAAAATGTATTTGCTCTCTATCACACATTATTTGAGAACAAAATTGAATTAAAATTTTTATTAAAAAAAAAATGTTTTTTAAGGTCAGATAAAGAATGTGTTTGAAGGGGAAATAAATTTTAAAAGCTAATTGAGAAAATGGCCCTTAAAGTTTTTGTTTCTTAAAATTTCTGAAAAGTGTCACAAAAAAATTTTTAAAACATTTTTAAAAAATATTTCAGTTTTAATTTTTATATTCCTACAGGACAATTCTGGCTAAGATAGTCACAAGTCGTTTTGGAAGACCATTGAAAGACTTGCGAAAAGAGCGCCATTGCCTACTTTCAGCTCTTTCGACAGAATATGTTCCACGAGCATACATTTAATTAAATAATAAACATAAAATAAACATATTTTTAGTTCCATTTCATCTTAAGAAATTTACTTAATTTTTTTCTTTTTCTAATTAATTTTTTAGATTAAATTTTCTTTATCTTCCATATTTTCGTTTTCTACTTCTAATAAAATCTTAGATGTTATAGTTTAAAATAATATATCCGTTGTTTTGATTTCATTGAATTTGTAGAAACTTGTTTCATTCTTTTTTTTTAGTTTTTGTTTTAAACAATTTTTTTTTTTAATATCATTTGATTCTTACAGCCAATTTCCCGAAAGCAATTCGAAAAATGATTTTAATTTTTTCAATTTTATATGGAAATTAGAAAATAAAAAATCAGTTTTCTACTTAAATTGCTGGTGAAACCGGCTGTAAGATTTTTGTATTTGTTATTTTTTCATTAATATTTTGGACTTGGTTTTAAAAAGAAAAAAGTTGTATTTTATTTATTTTGTAGGGCCTTGTTCTATCTTTATTATGCGCTTTTATTTATTTTGCTCTGTATGTATGTATGTAAGTGTATTTGTTGTTCTTGACATCAATTTTTGGCAAACTGCCCGATGACCTAGAGAGTTGGAACTTCACAGTTGGCTCAGAACCCGATGACAATGCAAAACGAAAGATGAGTTAATCCGATAGGTGGCGCACGAGTCGATATATTTGGTAAACCAGTATGTACAGTTCGAATTCGTTCAGAAAGCTGCTTTCAAAATATTATTTTTTTTACTATTAACTTATTTTAATTCATTATTCATCATTTTGTTATTTTAAAAAGATTTCTTTTTTAATATCATTTAATTATTAACAAGTTATTTAGTTTTTTCTCTACTTTCCATTTTGTTTTTTCTTCCTTTTTTTAAATTTTTAGATTGTATTGCTTTCAAAAGAAAAAATTGTACTTGTTAATTGTATTTAATTTTTAATTAGTGCATCATTTTTTATGTAATTTTCTACAGATTTTTAGATTTTATCGTTTAAAAAAAAAATATTTTTTTTTGTTATTTCTAGAAACTTATTTTATTTGTTTTTACATTTTATATTAATATTTTGTAAATAAAGTTTTCTTAAAACTTTTTGGTTTTATTGTTTTAAAAAGAAAAATATATTTTTTAATATATTTTGAAAATTTATTTTTAGAAAACTCATTGCAAAAGCACAAAAAGAATAAAGCTAGCATCGCTAGCAGATCAGATAAGTCAATCAATTAGTCTTTCGAAAGATTGATGAATTTACACAACTGCCATATTAATATTATAAAATCTTCTAAAAAGCAGGGACTGTAATGAATATGTCCTTCATGAAGAAAGTCTGAATTTAACCGCTAAAATTGAGTTTGTATTTTTCCGATCAAACTAGAATGTTGTTCTTTTTAAGTCAAATTAGGTCGTTACTTTGTAATGTTTACTTTTGCGGTCAAGAATAAAAATTATTTTAGCATTTTATTTTTCTACATCATGCTACTATAATCGCTATTTTCAAATATGGCGGTAATGAGAATGCAGTCTTTATTATGAAGTTTTAAAATTATCGGAAATGTTAAAATCATTGTTAAAATCAGAAATAAAGGTTATCGATGATCGAAAAAATTAAAATTACAAAATAACGAACAAATTTGACCAAAATAACAAAAATTCAAAGTTTTGCCATTATTTTTGACCGAAATAGTCAAGAAAGCAGTTGGAAATGATCTTAAAATAAAAAACTTTGAAAACAGTACTAAAGTACGAGTACTGAAATTTATTTATACTAAAATTTATTTAATTTTTTAAAATATGAAAATTGACAGTAAAAAAGGTTCACATAGATATTTAAGTTGTTGGCTAAAATTTTTACATAGAAATGAGTTATCAGCTGATGTACATATACATAATTTTCGTGTTCAGCGACCCAAAAATAGTTTAGAAAACTCTTTTTGCAGCAGTAATTTTTTGGTGTAGACTAGTTGAAAAAAAACCTGTAGCGAGTGCAAGGTGTATTTTAAATTTTTCAGGGACTTTAACCATAGTAGCAAAAATATTTGAATTGTTATTATATGATTGTTATTTTTTCGATCATTTCTAATTTTGTGTTTTTATATTTTTCGATCAGAAATAACGACATTGTGGATTTTTATTTTTTTCGACATTTTTTTAACCGTTTTAACTATTTTTTGATCTAACCTGTGAAATCTGAAAATAACCGTTATAATATGATGAAAAAAATACAAATAATCGAGAAAATAAAGATCCAAGAATAACGATTTCTGATCGAAAAAAAAAGAAATAGTAAAACAACGATTAAACATAGTCCAGAAAATAAAAATCATAGAATAACGATTACTTTTACCCGAAAAAGTAAAGATCATAATATAAAGGTTAAAAATTATCGTGAAAATGTAATTAGAAAAATTACGATTTTAAAATAAAAGTCTTTTATTATAGAAAAATATTCTTTTCTGTTGATTTGTTTTTATTAATATTTTAAGAAGTCTCGATCCTACGTGCCATAAGTATATGCACAATTATGGAAATTTCTTAATTTTATTAAGTTTTGGACTTAAAAATATGTTTTAATAATAATTAATAAAAAATTAAAATTTAAGTATTGCTAGTATTTTTTTATATATACATTTAGTGCAAAATATTAAGAACTACGTATTTTGTATTACTTAACTTTGAAAACTATTTCCCAGCACCACATTCACTAAACATGCCGCAGGTACTTTAAGAGACTACATAGGCCAAAATAAGGAGACAGCTAATTGTTTTATCCTTTGGTATATATTTTTTAATTATTTAAATATAATTATAATTTTTTATTCAATTTAGTCCAAGCTCACCTAATTAAAAATTGTAAGCTATTTTCTGGTATTTTTAATTCTTTAAGTTATGACTTTCATCCAGCAAACTCGTGATATGTGTATGGCAGTATGTAGATTTGTATTTACATCGTACATTGCATTCACAATATTTTTCAGGCCACATACATTTCTGAGTGAAGTGAGTTATGTAAATGTACTTAAGCGGGCAGTTAAGCTGCTTAGCTCCAGCTTTTAAGCAAACGAAGTAAGTCAAATACTGCAGTAGGGAACTATTCAATGGGGGATTGAAAATTCTTTTCTTTTTTTTTTTAATAGCTGGAAAATGGTTTAATGCACATATTGATAGTCATCGATTTTTACTGAGCTTTAAAAGCGCAAATGCAATGGGGTCAAGTTGATATTTATTAAAGGTTATCATAAAACTTATTTGAAGAGTTTTTATGTTTATGTTAGGTTATGTTCTATGCATCCATAGTGTGGTGGCAGAAGATAATGCCAAAAACTGCCATACTTCGCCTTAATAAGCTGCAAAGATTGATATGTCTATCCGCCACAGGATCTATAAGAACGTGTCCAACTGCGGCTCCAGAGTCGCTCCTGGGATGGACTCCTCTCCATATTTTTATTCAGGAATCAGCAGCCACGAGGGAGCTGCAACTTCGATTATCTAACGACGGCTTCTTCGTAAAGAAGCCTCATGCAGGTATTCTTGGGAAGATACCAGGGTTGGATATATGCGGAATCTCTGATTCCATGACTAAGGAGGTCTGCTTTGGCAGAAAATTCCAAGTGATAACCCCCGATTGCGAAGATTGGGAAAATGGGCTCCCTGCCCTTGATCTCAGATATGAACACTGGTACACAGATGGATCAAGGATGGCGGACAGTCCGGGTGCAGGCATCTTTGGACCTAGCACAAAACTTACAATTCCCATGGGCAAATGGCCCACGGTGTTTCAGGCTGAAATAGTCGCAATCTTAAACTGCGCAAAATTAAACCTTGAAAAGGGTTTAAAGGGCGCTTTTTTAGTTATCTTTCCAGATAGCCAAGCAGCCATCCGGGCCCTTTCAAACAGAACTATCAAATCTAAGTTGGTTAGAGACTGCTTTAACACGCTACAATTTTTGGCAGCCAAAAACACGGTAACATTGTGTTGGGTATCAGGCCATTCTGAAATCGAAGGTAACGAGATCGCTGATGAGTTGGCATGTGAAGGATCGCTTACTGCCTTTTCGGGACCTGAACAATTCTGTGGTCTCAGTTGGTCCTCTTCGAGAGCCATAATCACTGAGTGGGGGCCCTTAGACAGGCCAGGCTATCCGGTTACCCCTTTAACAGGAACGACATCGTCCTAAAAAACAGAATTGACATCAGGTTACTTTCTGGGTATCTGACTGGTCACAACCAATTGCGGTTCCACTTACACCGAATAGGGGCGATCACAGAGCCGGAATGCCGGCTCTGCCTCGAGGCCGATGAAACTTCGGAGCATATTCTCTGTAACTGTCCGGCTTTAGCCAGACAAAGACTGATTTACTTTAAATCTTCGTTGGTCGAACCCTTTGTTATAAGGAATTCGTCTACCAAGGCCCTTTTAGGATTCATATGGGAAGCCGAAGGTATCTTGGCCACATTGGGTTAGGGACTCCTTTATAGAGATACAAAAGATCTTTTAGGATTCATAAGGGAAGCCGAAGGTATCTTGGCCACATTGGGTTAGGGACTCCTTTATAGAGATACAAAAGATCTTTTAGGTGGCGGTGTCTCTGTTCTATTACACCCAGTAAATTAACTAACTAACTAACAATTGTTCATAAATGTAGTACCTACATACATATATACTTGGATTTATTATATATAAACTAAGACACGGTGACAATACAAATTTTTGCAAAAAAGTTATACAAAATATTGATACTCGAGTATTTGCTCCCACCTTTTGGGAAACTTTAAAATAACTTTTAGGATTTGTATTTAGATTTTTGCTACTTATGCACAATTATTATTTCTAATTTTTCAATTAAACTACAGTTAGTTCCCTCACAAATACCATATAAACCCAGCCTTAAAACTTTGTAGAACACTGAAAAAAATTCATCAAAATTGAAAACTTTTTTCTCAGTGGTCGTAAACATTTTTCAAGTGTTTTAAAGTTTTAAAGTCCTGTAAATTTTATTATGAAAGTTTCATCTACTTGAAATTTGCATATTTTGTACTAAAATTTAAGGGACTATAAAACTGTACACTCTTAAAAAATTTTAGTGCTACCGAGAAAAAGGGTTTAAATTTGGATGAATTTTTTCAGTTTTATACAAAGTTTTGCGCTTGGGTTTATAGGGTATTTGTGAGAGAGTCGACTGACTTTTAATTGACAATTAAAAAAATAATTGAATAAAGCAACATAAGTTATTTTGAATAAAGCAGCATATTAATCTTAACTATATGTATATACATATATATATATATATTTTAATATTTGCCAACATGTATGCCACTTCTTCTTTGCCAATAAAAGCCAAATCTTGAAATTTTATCCCACTTTCATACATAAGCTTTCACACATACATACATACACATATATGTAAGTCTTCCTTAAGTCCCACTACAACAAATAAGTATTTATCACCAAACACCGCCATAACACTTACCTGCACTTGCTCCAGACCACGCGTATACGTTGGATTCTCAAAAGCCACACCATTACCGGCCTTACCGTTATGTGCACGATGACGACGATAGAATATAATGGCTGCCGCAGCTAAGAGGACAGCCAAAATGCTCGCCACAATGCCGCTGATTGTGCCAACAGCATTCGAATATGTTGTCGCCGAGGTGACATGATGATCGCCCAAAGTAAATTTAACTGGTTCGGTAAGAACGCTGGCACCTGAAGGAAGAAGCAGGGTAGATATGATGATAAAGAGTTAAAAATGAATTTAATAACATCATTTGCAATTATTTGTTAAGGTTTTGCTAGCTGTGTAAGACTTTAAATTTTCCTTTAAATATATATTTTTAGTAAGCATAGTCTATGGGCGACTCACCAAAAGAATTGCCAGCTTTCACTACCAGTTCATAGAGTACATCCCTTTTCAGTCCCTCAATATTTACTGTGGTATCCTTTACATCGAGACGTCTTATTTCGGTTGTATTTTGTATGCTCGTAACATTGTAGCCAAGGCCATCACCGCTGGACTCGCTGGAGTCGGGTGCGAGAATGGCTGCCTCATGATAAAATATTCGATAGCCTTCAACGACGTTGGGGTTCTTTTGTGGTGGATCCCATCTGAGCAAAGATCGGTTAAAAAAAGTATTCGATAAGAAGAATTGTTTAAAGGTAAGCACTTTTCCATAAGTGTTTTAACGGATAAAATTTCGCTATTTAAAATTGCATAATTATACTTAAAATTTTAGCGATAACAAATTTTTTATAAATAAAATTGTGATCGATAATTATCGATAAACGTATCCATAACCATATCGGTGCTCTCACCGAAAAATATTTCGATAAGGATGACAACAAACATTTCTATGAGTTTATAGAGAACTTTATCGATAGATATACAAATTTAGGACATGCATACAATTGTATTAAAAAAATCGATATAAATCGTTAATAGTAGTATTACAGTTCATATCAATCTTTATCGGTAGCCCTATCCACAGCCATATAGATATTTAAACCGAAAAATACTATGTCAATAAATATATCGAGACAAATTGCCACGAGACTATCGGTAAATTTATCGATACCTACAGTGGGAAGCCAAACTGAGTACATAGTAATCTTTGTTAAATATTTGCAAGGTTTTTAAAGTTGAAATTTTTTTGTTATTTTTTAAAAAAACATGGTTAGTGCTTTAACCAAAACCGTATAAATCAAACTTTATAACGAGCTTCGAAAAATTTAATAAGGTTTTATAAAAATTTTGAACTTTTCGTGCAAGTTTCAAGCGATCTTTAACAATTTTTTTTTCTGCTGACGGCTTTAAGATTTAAGACCGTTTAAAAAGAAAAGTTAAAAAGATCAACGCCAGTTTTTGTAAATTGCACGTGTTGCATGAAAAGACCCGCGGCTATAAATCTGCATACCCAAAATTTTTCTAAAAGTTCAACTTAAAAAGCTCGAAGTTTTGGTAAACATCTTTCTAAGTTCTGTATATAGTTTGATTTACATATATGGTTTTTGTTAAAGAATGAACCATATTAAAAAAAAAACAATAACAAAACACAGTTTAGCATGACCGTGGATTTAGTGGCCGGTAGAAAATAGCCTCAAAAATGTAGAGCAGAAACTTCTATCGCAAGCGGAACTAACAAGACATCCAGAAAATATTACCATTCGATCATTAACATAGTGGAAAATATGCATCCAAAATTATTGCAAATCTAACCGGGAAGGTCGGAAAGATGAAATTTGTAAAACAAAATAGGGATCGACCGTACCCATCCGAGTAGGTAAATTTCGCTGAATAAGAGCCGAACAGAAGCAAAACTAGTGACAAATGATGACCATTAGCCAAGAAGAACTAAGCAAGGGCCCCGCAGTGTGGTGTCCTACGCAAACCTTTTTCACCACCTGGACGAAGCAGGTAAAGTCGTGATTGGGCATTTAAGTAAACGGCCCATCAATACCGTAGGTTAATAACCTGTGTAATCTAATATGTACGATTTCTCATAATAGACAGAAATAAAGTTAAATTAAATTGAAACCGCGCACAATCGCTATGGTCAGTAAGGTATAGAGCAGCAACAAGGTCCTCAAATCGCTCGCCGGAAGAGCACGGTGCAAAGAGAAATAAAAGTTGTTGGCAGCATAGGTTTTAAATTACGTTTCGTCTGTTTAATCACGGAGGATGAGTAGAGCGCAGTACACAAAGATTTATACTTGTCCAAAACACCGCACTCTAAAGAGCAACAGGATGCCCATAGATGTAGCGTCCGAACAGAGACTTGCTGAAAGCAGAGCCTCCTCCTAAACTCCCATCAGAATGCATCTCAATGAACACACGAGAAACAATAACCATCTTTACAAACTCGCCTCGCACGATTGCCGTCATCGGTAGTAATCATCCACCAATCGCAGACAAAGAGCTTCGACCGCACCGATAAACCCGCATATGGGTGCGTTTTCAGTGTCAGCTTGGAGCTGAGAGTGATTTATTTGAAATGTCCTTCTGTTTATTATATCGGCTTGGAATGAAAGTTTGCATTCTTTATGACATAACTACTACGATTTCGATCATCGAGTACAATTAAAACAGCACTCCCAGCTGTTATGCCATAAGAAGTGCTTTTGCATCATTCTCAGCTCATAGATAGCACTATAGTCTGAGTTGCGGCTTCTCATATTTTCCATTTGATTCACTTTTTTCACATTCGAACAACACACATACTCACCTAATCATCACTTTACTATCGGACACCACACTAACTGCAATATTCTCTGGCGGTCCTGGCAGCTTTTCTCTATTCGTTTCAAAACAGCCGACGATCGTACGCGCATATTGCAAGCTACAAACCTCCTTCGATCGCACCGCATCGCCACGACACCAGTTCAAACACTTCCGCGGAACATTTGCATCCGCGCAGCAGCTACGATGATCCGAACCATCAGCCGCACATTTCATCAACTTATCAAAGTCCACAATACATTCCGGTTTATCGGCGATCGCTTCTATGTCCACATAATAACTGCAAGCGGCACGGCAGGCCAGCGAGACATTCATTTGGCGACAACACTCAGAGACATTGCGTCCAAATGCCGGCGTAGTGCGTATGCGCACCGAAACAGGCGTCGTAGAGGAACCGAAAGCATTCTCAGCATGGCAAAAGTAATCGCCAACATCGTTCGCCTGCATTTTGTTGATACGCAGTGACATGGTGTACAAATTGGGATGGGATTCGTTCATTTTGGTGGAGATATCAAAGTGACCACCCTGTATAACGGGTACGCGGCCATCATGATCACGCCAAAAGATTGTCTTTGGTGTAGGTTTCGCATCGACTGTGCAACGCAGCTCGACCTCATCGCCCAAAGAAGCGACGGTGATGCCAGCGGCGGTAATTTTTGGTGCATCTGATAAAAAGTGAGATAAGCAAATATTTAGTTGAATTATATAAGAGTGTATTTAAATTATATAAACAAAATCAGTAACACTGAGCGCTTTCTCTTGATTACTAACAGCAAATATTCACGCGCCTAGCGGCCTGCATTGGCACACCATAACCATTGTCTGCATAGCAGGAAATATGCTCCATATCGGCGCTGACGTTGTGTATCACTGTGACCATGTGCCTTGAAGTGTCCTGTCGCACCAAATGTCCGCCGACGTAGAGTGAAATTGTGGGCGCTGGATTACCCAGAGCCAGACAGAGTATAGTCATCGAACCGCCTTCGGGTATATTGTCAGCTGGGTGTACAGTGGGTGGCTGTGAAAAGGCGAGATTATTAGTTGGATTAAAATGAGCTTTATAAACTTTAAATCGTCACTCACATCCACAAAAGCTGGTAGTGCGGGATCGGTCCATGCCACGAGCGTCTCGGAAGGCAGCGATATAGCGTGCTCACCTACAGCTTCGACGTAGAGGATATGCTGGGAACTGGGTTTCAGGTTGCTCATGCGCAGCCATGCTACTTTGGTTTCGATTTTAACAAATTTCTCCGATTTCATTGGTTTGTGGTAGACTCTGATGAGAAAAGAAGGATGGAGAAGTAAAATTACAGTTGAGTAGATAGATTAGGCGGTTATCTTATAAACTTAGTGTCTTGATTAAAGCAATGTCAATCTACATGTATGTATCAATATTTCTATTTAAATCAGTTAAGCGATGCCATGAACTAATAAATGAGAAAGATCTTAGCAGCGGGTCCTTGACAATCAAGATTAGCAATTGCAGACTGCAGATGTACAAAAGGATATAGTGATCCCTTATTTAGCCCGACGTCATGGGGGTTACTGGGCGTCTTTTTGACATCTCCAACAGTGCCGGGCTTCGACCACAGTGTGGTAGAACTACCACTTTTGTGCGATTCTACCACACATGGTCTGAAATCTACCATATATTTGCGTTTTCAGTAACTTTACTGTCCTCCGAAAGAACTTTTAAGGAAACATCATACGAGTAGTTTTTAGAATTAAAGTCATCTCTTCACACAAACTCATTCGGATTCAGAGATCTTTACAAAATATTCTACAATTGAAAAAGTCTTGCAGAAAACCCATTAGAAGGTTCACTAGATATGTATGTAGATAAATATTGCTGTAGAGCAGCACTCCTTGTTTTTGGCTCTATAGAGAGCGGGGGCTGCCACCCCAACCAAAGCGCTAGAAGTGTTAAACAATTTTCCTGAAATAAGTCTGGCAGGAAAACACGTGGCTGCCGCTTCGGCGCTAAGACTAAAGAGCATGGTTCGGCGGTTTATTCACGCTTCTATACTTCACACTCTGGGTAGTCATAACCAAGAGATAGGTTCTTTAAGACGAGCATCCCGTCAACAAGAGAATGGAAAACACTAATACCATGGAGAAGGAGGAAATGATTTGTATACGGATGGCTGCAAGCTAGGCAATACGGTTGGCTACGGTGTTTTCTCTAAGGAATTAGGACGGGAATTACTTGCCCGAATTCCGGACAACTGCAGCATTTGTCAGGCAGTAGTATTTGCTATAAAAGAGGTGGCTATGTAGCTTAGTACAAATGCCGTAACGAAGACTACGATTAACATTTCCTCGGATAGCCAGGAGGCCATCAAATAAATGTACACGGTTATGCTAAGGTTAAAGGTTGAACAGGCAAGCCCTGCACCTCTAAACGACATTGACGCCATGTTCAAGGTCTTGGGACATAGAGATATTGAAGGAAATTGCTAGGCCGACGACCGAGGCTAGCCAAAAATGGTACCAATCTCCTTCTATGTGAAAGCAGAGGTAAAATTGCGATACCAATGGCAATCTGCAAGTTAGTGACTAGAAATAATACAACTCAAGAACAATCAGCTACTATTTATGGCCACATATAGATAAGAAAAGTACAAAAGAGCTGCTCGGCCTTACAAGAGAGGATATTGCGATGATTACGGCTTGTGTAACCGGACATTGGCTATTTGGTAGGTACTCTTCGAGACTAGGAGTTTAGCTCTCTTACGGAATTAACCGGTGTAGGAATAAAACCAGCCCTACTCTTTAAAAGGGCTTCAAAATTCTTCTATGAAAAATAGTCACCGAGGTTCTTGGGTTATTCAGTAATCGCACAATAGTCCTGCAAGATCTAAGTGAGTTGGTTTTTCGAACCGACTGCAACACAGCGACATTAGCATTTCTTGTATCTCCTGCTCCACACAAAAGATCAGTTAAATTTAAGACCCCTAAAAAGTTCAGAAGAGCTTTATGTAGTGCTACATCTTTGACCGATTCGAAGCAGTGGATAACGTTTGACCAAATAATGTGTCCCATAAGAATGTCTATGGAGATTTTTGGCTTCTCCTTTGAAAGATTGATTATAAATTTGAATCTTTACAAATGAACCAAGCAAACACTTTGCGTGACCTTTTCTAGCGCAGACAGTGTGGTCCTCTCCAGCTCGCCTTTCCTACCTGAGCTTTTTATACCCGAGCGCACTTGTGCACAAGCGGTGACTGTCTGTCCGTCCGTCCGTCCGTCTGTGCACACGATAACTCGAGTAAACATTTAGATTTCTTAACGAAACTTGGTACGTGCATTTCTTTCGGGCGAAGATGGTATTGTAAATGGGCAAAATTGGACAATAACCACGCCCACCTCCCATATAACGGTAATTTTCAGAAACACGAAAACTGCGATATTTTGGTAACTACTGAAGATTATTCACTAAAAATTGATATTTACAACAATGTTTAGACGAAAAATAAGAATATTATATATTTTTGAAAAATGGGCGTAGCCACACCCACTTAGTAACCACTGCACCAATTTCTTTCAAACTTGGCACAGTTATTGGCCTTAGTACAGCATACCAAATGGACGAAAATGTTTCAAATCGGACAATAACCACGCCCACATCCCATATAACGGTAATTTAGAAAAATACAAAATCTTCGATAAATCAGTAAATATTAAAGCTAATTTATTCAAAATTGATGCTCGCCACAACTCTTTACCAATAAATACGTTTATGATAACATTTTGGAAAATGGGACCTCTTTTTTGGGTAATCTCGAAAAATTTATCGTAAAAATAATCAAATTGTGAGCAAGTGAAGTCTAGCGGAACCATTGTATTGTATGTGATTTCTGACATCAACAATGCAAACAGCCTACTCCACATAAATTAAACATATTCTTTAATTTTTGGAAAACATTTCCCATCTCATATAGTCTTTTTTTTATTAATTACCTAATGCACCTTTCTAATAACTCATGCATTCATCTTGCCATACGGTTTCCATCAGAAAAATTGTAACACAAAATCACTACAAATCCATTGAATTTTCACTTTCTGTTTTCAAATAATTCTTTTTTTTTTGTTTTGCTACATTCACTCATTCATTTTCACTCACCTGTAGCTAATCTTCTCATGCGGATGTGAATACTCTGGTGGCTGCCATGTCAATTGCATCCAGGTTGCGCTGTGTGATGTAATCGACAGCGAATGTGGCGGTGAGGGCGCACCAAAGGTATTATTGCTGAATTTAGCTATAAATGAAAATGGAAAATTAATATACATATGTGTGTATGTAAATATGTGTGTAAACACCAAAATAAAACGAGCGATTTAGAGTCAGAAGCCAACAATTTTGGATAAGCAAAAACAAAATCAAATTTCCAAAAATACTGAAATAAGCAAAGTAAGTCAACCAATGTCAAATTTGGGCAGCTAATGTTTATGTGCATGTGTAAGCTTATTTTGAGTAGATACCCTGCAGGGAAGATCTCATGCCACAAAATAAATAAATATTTTAATAATTTTAAGTTAAAGTACTGTTTAAATGAATAAATAGTTTGTTTAAAGTTTGGAAGCAAGTAGTGAGTAAGGTAGAGACAAGGGAAAACATATTTTAAAATAAAGTAGATGAGACGTGATTGCCTAGGTGAAGTAGTGGTTACGGTCCAGTTTTTAAGTATTCAAAGACAATTAAAATTATATTTATATTTAAATAATAAAAAAATGTGAGAAACTAAATCTCGTGTTCTATTTATAGTTTATAATGCTGCGAGGGTAAACTTATGTTAGCACGAACACTGTGCCACTAGTTTAAAACCTATTAAATTAAAATTTGAAAGCCATTCATTTAAGCTCGAACTCCGGATTGAGCGGGTGAAAGTTTTATCAAACTAGTGCTTATGCGACTATTTTGATACTGAAAGTGTTCAATTATTTTTTTCATAAAATAGGAAAACTAGTGAATTAAAATTGAAAGTTGAAGTTGACTTACAGCCGGTTTCACCAGCAATTTAAACGGAAAATGATTTTTTATTTGCTGTCAATCTCCATATAAAATTCAAAAAATTAAAATCATTTTTCAATTAAATTGCTTTCGTAAAATTTACTTTTTAAGCCCACACTCTTCCCTGCAGGGTCAACGTAGTATTTACCTTGGTTATTGAAATAATAATAAATAGATAAACTATTTCCAATATTGTTTCTAAACTATGTAAACCATACTCACCATTCTCATCATCAGTCGTATTGATCAGCAACATCGAAGATGGCAAAGCTGTGCCATAGCGTCCGCGCGTCACCACCGTAATGCGATACAATGCGTGCGGCTCCAAATTTGTCAGTACAATGCCGGTCTCGTTTGTGGTCAATTCCTGTATGCGCCACCACCAAATATGAATGCATGCCACACCAAGCACACACACACACACACGCACAAGTACGCACGCACACATACGGATGCAGTTGGTAGACAAAGAGTACGCATTGCAGTGGCATTAGTGGGTTTACGCACAGTTTTATGGTTGTTCGTCGTTGTTGAGTGGATGTATTGACGGCGGGCAGCAGCATATTTTCCATTTATAGCAAAGCATTAGTAAATAGCAGAATCAGCGAGTCAGTGGCAGCAACAACGGCGACCAATCAATTTTGGACGAATCGTTTAGAACATGCAATTGAAATTTGAAATTGAAATTGAAATTGGAAGTGGAATTTTTGAAATTCTATAGTAGTTGTTTTTGTTGCTGCATTAACTACAATGTGTAAGTACATACATATGTAAGTATATCTGTGCCTATGTTATATGCTTGCATTTTGGCGCTTTTTCGATTTTTGGGTAATTGATGTTGTTGCGCGTGCGTGAGGTTATTTGCTTGATGCAATTTTTTTGGACGCTCAACGAATAAATCGGTGGCATTTCAATGCTATGCAGAGGTTTAGTGGTAAGCACAATTGTTTCTGAACTATCGATTACTAAAAACAATAAAAATTTATTGGAATTGGTACACGATCTAATGCTGTTAAAGGACGTAGTAGTAGATGCGCTGATAGACATGCATACATACATACATTGTATGCGGCAACTGAAAAATAACATAAAATGTGTTCTGGGGCATTTCAACGGGCGTAACATTTAAATAGTTTTTGTTTAAACATAAAGTAATTTCTCTTTAATCAACAATTTCACAAGTTTCTAAGTGTTAAAACTTGAAGTCAGATATCAGTTAAAAAAAAATAATACTTTATTAAACTTATTTATATAATTTACACGAAAAATTTACATTTTCCAAGATTGACGTATGGAACAACGAACTCACCCACCTCTTTGAGTTGATGGATTCGTTTTTCTCAATTTTGGACAAACTATAAATATTTCGTTCATAGCGATTTCCTTGTATGTAGTTTGAGAGTTAAAAAAAAACCTCTTTTACCTTGTGACCGCTGGGACTAGTTTTTGTGACGCGTGAGACGCGTCACTATTGACGACAAATAGTTCGTGAGTAAAATATGAACTCTACTGTTTTGTATGCATATTTATTAAATTTTTTATTTAAGGACCTCATTTAGAAAATGAGAAGCTCACGAATTTGTAAGCTAAGGTAAAAAAAACGTATTTTGCTGTGGGACATAAAATAAGCATTTCTTTAGATGCTGACAACTTCTCGACATAAAATTCTTTTTGAATAACTCAGCACTTTAATAACTCTATGAATTTTACTTTCTTTCTATTATTATTATTATCATTTTTTTCACTTTCAATAAAGGAGAAAAACCTTGATAATTTAATGAAAAAAATACTATATCAGAGATTATTGTATTTTGACTCGACTTGCGTTCGATATCGAATGCCACGCTTCGGGCTCTGGTGTTGGCAAAATTAATAGCTTCAAAAATACTTAAACCAAAATCTTTACATTTTCCATAGTTACAAAATAATCGCATTTAAACCAGTTGTATGCTACTTAACGGTTTCTGGCCAGAGGTCGATTTTTGTGCCAACAAAAAGTACGTTCGCTTAAATGTTAGAAGACTTTTAATACTGGAATTTTTTTGACTTATATAATTTGAACTTTTATCATCGTATACAATTAATAATAAAGCCATTTTTTTACTGTCCGTTTTTGCTTTAATTAAACAAAAATACAATAAAAAATTCTTTTTTTAATCCGTTTACTAAAATCATTATTTGATCTCAAAAATTATGCTTCATATATTAAAGAAATGCAAATTTTACATTTTGCGCAAACGTATAAAAAAATTAATAAAACTTAACTCCAGGGATGTGGGGTTTCAAAGTTGGTGGTCGAAATATCTACCAAAGGCCGAGCAGGGGTTAAAGATAAAACAAAACAAGAAAATCAGCCAAAAGTATAAAGATACGCAACACCTAATGTCGAACACGTTAAACATACATACATAAATGGCCAGCTGACTCAAGTAATATGTAGAAGCAGCAGCAGCAAGCCAACTACTACCTGTCAAGGTTGCACGTTTTTATAGCTTTTACAGTTGCTACTGCCCAGGCACCATAGTTGTTGTTACTCTATCTAATTGTCTATGTGCATGCATATGTCTGTCTTAATGACAGCAAACGTGCGACAACATATGGCAGCAATACAGCAGCACGAACAGCAGTTAAAGCAATAACAGCAATAAATCGCTATGCTATGGCCACTTAAACACATAAACGCTCGCCCTCAAAGAGTATACATAGCATCAATGCAGTTATGTATAGCTATGCTTAATGTGTGGCGCATGCGCAAATTGCCTTGCCACACCGGGCCATGCTCTTTTACAAATCCGTAACTAAGTCAATGGCAAAGCAGCTGTGTCCAATTTGGCGTGCGTTGCAGTGTTATGACACCTGCTTTAAAGCGTTTTAGTGCGTTATGAAATATGATAACATCATAAAAAAAATATAAATGCTTGAAATTTTAAATGCACGCCAACAACGAACGAAAACTTTTTTTTCGAGAATGGTTTTGACAACGGGAACATGTCTAATAAATTACACTCAACTCCTTTCGTTAAGGTTGCTTTTCGAACGATGGAGCAACCAAGTAGCGAAAGATGTGCAGACGCTATACGGTCCTTCTGCTTCTTCAAGTCGGACACTGTTATTAAAGATGCAGTTAGCAATGGTTGAACCTTAGGAAAACTGGAAGAATAGGGGTGGGGAAAATTCTTGTGTTGCTGAACGTCAAACTCTTAAAAACTTCACCGATAAGCAGGTGAAGAGAAGTAGGACAGAAGGACAGGAAAAGCCGCGAAACCGGCCAAGGCAAGTATTCAACACAAGACGGGTAATGAATTGTCTATTCCGCAACTCTCTTCTAATTTTAGTCAAGGGTATGTGCGAGCATAGTAGAAAATGAATGCCTGGCAAAGAAATGAAGCCCTCAGCATGGGAATCAAAGGACAGTGAACGTCGGATGAAACTTAAAAACCTATCTCTGCTTCATTCGGGAAATGGGATGAGTCGGAGAAGATTGTGGCATGTTAAAGAGCCCAAGAATTGTTGAATATAAGTCCTCGATATGCTAAATGGCCTCCATTTTCTTCCATCAGCGGAAGAATCGGCCACACATCGATTGCAGTATACACCCAATGGCAATAGGAAAGACTTAACGCATGAATGTCGAGTAGTGCAGGCCATCGGCTCCAGAATGGCCCATAATTTATAGTCCAGTCGATTGGAGTCTAGGTACCAGGAAGCCAGTAGTCCTTGAACATATAGCTCGAGTCATGGTTTTGTGTCGATTTTGCCTTATGAGCTAGAGTGGAGAGTTTTTGGAATGAGCGCAGAAGCTGAGTGGTGCACACGTTGAACCCTCGGAAAGAGTGCGGACGCATGAAGTAATGTTCTTTTTATTTAATGATTTTTCCAAAGTGAAAATTTTCTCGTTCGCAACCACAATTCTCTGTGACCATGTTTTGTGGGGAATGGAATGGAATTGAATTGTGGGTGGCCGGAAAACCCAAGAAAAACTTCTTTTTCGAAGTACTCGGGCCTAGAAACAGGATTTAGAGGAAAAGGATATAGGTGGGGTGGGACTTCAATGCTCCCCGGCAAACTTACCAAAGTCATTTATGAATCTTAGCAGTTGATAAAGGGTAAGAGAATGTATCCATCTGTTCCCAATCCAAAAATGTACCACCTAAGTGTGGCAAAGACCGGACAGCGGCAGAGAAAATATTCAGTATTATCCCCATCCTCCAAACAAGTTGTGCACTGTGGATCGTCGATAATGGATATGGTGACCATATGTCGTCTTCACGGATTGTGCCCCTAATCAGTCCCATCAGGACTCTTAGACCACTCTTTCTCTGCCTTAGAAGGAATTATACTACCTCCCAGCTACGGTTCTCATGGGTTTTAGTTATGAGACCCTTCATATACCCGATCGCTCCCGCTATGCTTGGCCATAAAATTGGCTCTGGTCCAATTGAATGCTCCAAAGAACCACAGTTCGGCAATTCATCAGCCAGTGCGTTGCCCTATACACCGCAGCGTCCTGGCACGCACGATAGTTCTAGCTTATTCCACCTTGTAGCGGATCAACTCGTTAATTCTTAATTATCTCGGGAATTAACTGCAGTTGATCCGGATTAAGTCCTAGAGTTAATTCCCAAATAATACTCGGATCAAGTGTATTTTCGACGACAATACTGACCAAATCTCAGAGAGCGTAGAATACAGAGAATAGGCAAATCTAGTATGGACAATATATCTTTTCGTCGGTAATGCAGTCACCATACTAATTCAGATAGGAATCCTATTTAAATTGGATAAGAGCGTATTTGAATTAGTATGACGACTGCATTACCGACGACAAGGCTAGTATGGACCTTTGCAAATTCATTGCGTTCTACGCTCCCTGAGTAAACATATACGCAAAATAAGGCAATCGATTCCTTCATCCGCGGTAGCCGAGTGGTGAGAGCTGGGCACTACAAGTCTGCAGGTTCCAGGTTCGATCCTCGGTTTAAGCTATTGCCAAAAAAATTGTTGTTTTTATTTTTTATTTGATTTGATTTATATATTTAATTTCACTTTACTTTATTTTAATTTGTTTTATTTTATTTCACATTATTTATTGTATTATTATTTAATTTAAATGTTTAGAGTTTATTTTAGTAAAAAAGTCAAAAACAAATAACTTAAAACAACATTCAAAATATAAAGTTATAGTTGAAAGAATAAAAAAAAATTAAATGAATACTCTACCCTGCCGTGGGATTCGAAACTACGACCCCGTGGCTCGTTAATCCGCATTACTTCCGTCTGGCAAGGTACAATTTTGATCAGATCAATCGCGCCGTTGATGCGGATCAACGTTGCCGTCTGTTTATGCTTTAAGGTATGTACATAAAA